TTTGCTAAAAAAAATTGTCTAAAAATACTTTAAAAATTGCTATAAAGTTTAAAGTGCCAATAAATGCCATGAATTTAGCACGTCACTGAACAAACATACATATATATATATGCACAAAGGTAAGAAAACTTTGCTATGATTAAATGAGAAATAGACAGAGACCAAAAGCAATACGCAGCAAAAACTTTTCACAATACATAAATATTTAAATACATTAGTATACAAATAAATACACTCACTCATGCATGCTAAATCAATATACGACAAATTTCCATTTCCAAACGGAAACGCAGAGCTTAATTTCAAAGTTTCCTTCGTGATAACAATTAATATTCATATTGTGCAGCAATTAATAATCATTATTAATAATTTTCATACAAATAGAAGAATTGTGAAGCTTCAAACTTTTGTTAAATGCAATTACAGTGCCTTCGCGCTTTTAACCTTTTCAATGCATTTATTGCTCGTCTCCTCCAACGAAAAGAAACTGCCAACGGCTGCCCTTAAAACAGATTTTCGAAAATAAATTAAGTCAATGGCCGGAATGGGAGATGAACAATGGGGGCGTGGCATGGTGGCAGTTGAGTTTCGGGGCTGCGGGGTGAAGGGTGTCGAGAGCCAAAGCTGATTTTGGAAGCAACAACGAAATGCAACCGCACCGAATTGATTTGAGCAATTTGAAAGAGCGCAAAAATGTGCACTACCCAATGCAATTGGCATTGAATTCGGCTCGAATCCCTGAGCCACCCAATGGTCCATTCAACCAATGCCCAACATTACCAGCGCCAGCCCTCTGCTGCTCCTCCTCCTCCTCCTCCGCCTGCGCTGACTGCATGAGCCGCATACGAAACACGAAACAGAAAGCCCAAAAGCAATATTCAACTCACAGCCAGCAAATATTCGGGTATATTGTAGAAATTTTGCGACCGCTGGAAAACATTTTTCGCCTCTGCCTCCAGTCCATCAAATCGCTCAACGAATTCCAAATGCTCGCCCATTCAACCAGCAGCAGAGACTGGGTGGGATTTGCCCATCTTGGCTGGCTTTTGTTGTGGGCAAAAGGTAATGAATTTCTATTTTAGCGAAGTTGCTTTTAATGAGCAGCGAGAATTTTAACGAAAGCTGC